GAGGTACTATGCTCCGCCGCTGGGCGACTTTTCCTGGCAACTTTCTGGTGACCCAACTTGGCTCGTGCGGTGGTGTGTGGCCCCATGGTGGTACGTATGGTGTCTCGCGAGAGGGTACTCAGAGTTCCCTTTATGTTTTTCATTCTTGATAATTTACGACGTCTGGTTTTCCAAATCTCCGAATTGGCTTAGTATAGTATTATGATTTATTGATAGTCCTTTATGTGCTTAAGAATGTGCATTGTAGTGGCATAAGAGTGTTTCTAACCCTCTTACCACATGCGCTTCCTCTTTAGCGAACAATAGCATGATCTTTATTAGTCACCTAGAGTTGGTCCAAAATGCATTTACGTTTGGTTATGAGATGAAATAGTGCTGTGATTTCATTTTTGAGTATTATTTCAAAAATTACCTCTAATGTTGAAATTCATTCTTCCATGTGATAGTTTCGTATCGATTATTCTTGGAGTTTTGGCGGCTTATGAGATTTGGACAAAAGCATATTGTTTCTATTGGCATGCATTGCTTTTTATGCATATTTCATGACTACGCTTTTAAATTTTATAGCAATATGAAAGTTATACTTTCATCGATTGTCAACCAAAATATTAATAAATAAAATGATTATATGAGATGAGCGTTGAAATTTTGCTCGAAATATTTTGAAATATTATGTTCATAATATTCTGTGCTTGCTTGTTGATATGCCATGTGGCTGTTTCATGGATAGTGCCTACGCGGAGAAGATTATATATGCCTTTAGCGGATGGACAACAGTGATAAGCGAAAGATATATTTATATATGATATGATTACACTACTAAGCACACAATAATAGCATTATGGGTTTATGAGCTTAATTCTTTCGGAGTCGAAAACCTATTACTTATTATCTATATGAGTTTTCAACTGACTATACATTATTGTTGTATATGAAGTATAAAGTATGTATTACTAGTATACAAATACCACTGACTAAAAATCTATTTTGCTAGCCATAGAAGGGATCAGTAGGCACTTTGTTGACCTCAATAGTGCACGGCGAGGGTGACGTATAAGTTCGGAAGCATTAAGATAAGAAATAAAGGAGATAATTAAAACCAACTACTTAGAGTGCACTAGAAAAGCGAGAAGCGTTAAGAGTAAAGATACAAATAGAAATACTCTCAATCAAGCATAGATAATCTATAGTGCAGTCCAGTAGGAGTAATAGTAAGTCAAGTACCAGATACGCCTACAATTATTTTTGATAGGTCAGAGCCGAAATCCTCAAGGCCACCGACAACAAGCTTACCTAAAATCTGTTGGAATGCGCAAACAGAAAACAGTGAGTGGTAGGGCAAAACACAAATGTTTTACAAAACCATTCATTTATCAACAGATGCCTCGCGCTAATGATGTTTTCCCAGAATTCAGAAGATAAAGCAATATATACTAATCTCAAATCATGCTTGTACAATATCATATTCATAATGTATGCCATGTAAGATAACTTATAAGCAGGTGAGAATAATTTCATGTCTTAAATATCATGTTAGCCGCCTTTAGGTAATATTTGGATGGCTGAATTCATAGCTCAAAATCAATGTAGCCGGATAGTTACAAGACCATACGACATTGTACTGCACAAGATTGGAACCACAATGAAAAGGTATGTACACATAATGTGTGTAGTGATAATTCATGCTCAAATATATCTACACTAATAGCTGAGCTAGGATTTTTTAGCTAGTCACTAATAGTGGAACCACCTAAGATATACGACATGACATGTGCACCATGCTCACTATCGTGCGGGGGTAATCATAATAAACAGGCATTGTGCTACCCAATCACCGGTGCAGTTCTATGAGCTTCAACATTATTCAATCACATATCGCACCATTCATATTCACATAACCAAACATAATCACTTGAGCTTACCTGAGTGTTCACAACACCACATTATATATATAATGCATCATATACCAATTCATATACGAAATATAAATTTATATGGCATGCTTAATATTTACGGCATACTTTTACTTTTAAAAACCATAACTTAAACTTCACTGAAAAATAAATCAGTATATAATAACACTAAAAACCCCAAAAGTCCAGTCTCACTAGAGGCTAGTCGAAAGGTCCTTAGCCCCAAGTCTCCTTCAACGCGCTCGTCCTCAGAATAAGTCTTAATCTATATTGGATAACTATAAAAACGTTATAATTAAGCCAATAAGCACAATAAGCAATAACTTCTATACAATGCTCAAATGAGGTGTTTGAATATATCAAAGTACTCTACACACTCCACTTAACATCACCATTTTTTAGAATAATTTTCCGACCACCCAATGCCGGCCACGCTAGCCAAGCCAACGGCACTGGCAATAAGCGGCCACGACAGCGGCCGTCAGGTATATATAATCTTCCGTTAAGTAAAGTGTAACCTAACGGAAGCTGTCCAAACTAACTGACATCGAAAAATATCCGTCAAGACTTGACGGAAGATTCCGTTGTTCTCTTACCTTCTAACTCCGGCGACCGTCACGGCGACCGGAAAACTGGAAATTTTAAACCATGAAATCTCGGCCATTTTTGCACCATTTTTCAATATTTTATACTAAAATGAAGTGCATGAAGAAATAGAACAAGTTTACCTCTTCTACCTAAAAAAAAAACACGGGATCTAGTCGGGAAAATTCAAGAAAAAACCGGCCCCAAGGTTGAAATTCACTATCCCACGTCCAAAACACTCTAACGATACACCCTGAGCTTCGTGACAACCTTCTAAACCTCCATGTGAGCTTGAAATCCCCTAAAAACCTCACAACAATTAGTGCATGAACAGTACCTCATTCGGGTTTGAGTTTTCAACGTGATTTCGAAGGTGTTCTTTACCTGAAAATGGTACCTTTGAACTCGTATGGTCCTCACGAACACAATGGTGTGTTTCACACCCTCGATCTGTCACGTTTCAATGGGTTTTGGGTGTCGTCAGCACGAAGAAGAAGGAGAGAGAAAGAGTCTGAAAGAGAGAGCACGGGAGAGAAGAGAGATGAGGTTTGTGTGTGTGTGTGTGTCTCCACAGTGGTCCCACGAACCGACCAACAAGAACATGACAACCAAATAACCAAATATGTCACACACACATACACTACAATTTGCCGTCTAAGGATAAAACCGTCAATTTCACGTCCTCGAGATAAATAATACAATATCTCCGGAACGGGCTGTGACAATATATATAAACTTGGTTCATTCATGTTTTGTTTTGCACCCCTTTAGGACCTAGAAACGAGACATACGATCCGAGCTACGAGGCATTCCTATATCAGTGAACTCGTGTCCTCCTCTCTGCGTTTGACAACTCTTGTAATAGCACTTTTTATTATACCTCTCCGCATGAACTACTTGCATCATAATAACACTTTTTTATTATACCTTTTTTTTTTTTTTTTATATACTTATTGGAGTTGAATATTATTATATTATTTTGTAAGGTTTGTATTTGAATATTACATTGCGTAGTTGTGGCGAAATTTATATGCATTTTTCACATGTTCTCAGCATATGCATTCATGAAATGGCTTATGTCCCCCTCGGATGTCGGCCAGCACGTGGCCATCCTGTTGTCCTTCAGACATCGGGATCGGAGCGTGTCACTACTCCTCCTCTCTTGTTTCCAAATCGGGTCTACGACTTTGTTATAGCTTGAATTCAAATATTTGTCATTTGCGGATATACATATCAAATATTATTAGGAAGAGTTGTAATCTTGTTTGAACTCTCTGTATTTGTAACTGCATATACATTAGTTGAATGCATGAAGAACACGACTTCTAAAAATATGTTTTATCTTACACGCTCTCTCTCTACCACCTGAAATCGACTAGGCCTCTTATGAACAATCCCAATCCAAAGCAAGTGACGCCTGCAAAACCAAAAATACGACTGATAATTGGTTTGATATGGTGGATGTTAACAGTTTGGTCTCCTTGGTTGGACCAGCAAAATGAAAAATATGACTGATAATTGGTTTGACATGATGGATCGTAAAAGATTGGTCTCCTTGGTTGGATCAACCAGCTACAATTGGCTGTGACTGCGGGGTACGTCGATCTTGATTGGGAAAACTTGGGGGTGACGCATGATGGTGGAGAAGATTTCAGTTCTTTCTTTCTTTGTTCTCAGTACAAAAATGAAGGGTGCGGGGGAATGGCAAGTTTAGCTCACATATGAGGCACGTGCAACCCATTAACAAAAGAATTATTGGAACTTTTAATTTTGAATTTGATTCCTAATGGATCTGAACACAAAAATTAATTTCTATTTTTTTGCCACGAGAGGAAATTTTCAGTTCTCCCACTTTGTCTAGTTTTGTCTCTTTGTGTAAAGACAACAAAACCTTGAAACTACTATGTTCAAGAGAGAGAGAGAGAGAGAAATAATGGAGGACAGAGAAAGTAACGAGTGAGTGAGTGAGTGAGTCAGTGAGAGCTAGTTTACTCTCCCAAGGGTGCAGCCTGTAGCTTGTGCAGGTTTTGCGCTGTCATCAAAGCACCCTTGAATTGAATTGATACTTTCTCTTTTCTTCTTTGTTCCACCAACTCATCTTCAAGTTGAAACCAGCACAGCTTAATCTAGTCCTTAAATAAAAACTTCACCTACTCACTCATACATTTGCCTCTCCTTTTGTAGGAAAGGGATTCTCTTCAGATCCTTTCTACCTAATCATTCTCATTAAATAATTTGGATTTTTGAAATTTGATCATATAGTTAAAGTTATTATAATTTTTAAAATAGATCTATATTTTTAGCCATTAAATCAAATTTTAAAAATTCAAATTGTTTAATGAAAATGATTAGATGGAATAGATCAGGATCTCCTTCCCCTTTTGTATACCCAAAAACAATCATCAGATTAAAATAATCATCCGCCCCATTATTGCTCCCCTTCTTTTTATTATTGTATGTACATATACGTATATGTGTATATATAAAAACAAAAGGGCCAGCTTCACTCCACTGATCCACTCCTCTCTCTCTCTCTTTCCCCCTCAATCTCTCTCTATAGAACACACATTCAAGTTGTTTGTGTTGTTTTTCTCCATGGATTCTTATGAAGCTACCAAGATTGTTTTCTCAAGGATCCAAAGCTTGGATCCAGAAAATGCCTCAAAAATCATGGGGTACCTTCTGCTGCAAGACCATGGCGACAAGGAGATGATACGCTTGGCATTTGGACCAGAAACTCTCCTGCACAATCTCATCCTCAACGCCAAAACCCAACTCTCCCTTGTTCCCTCCGACAACCCTACTACTACTTATACCACTACTTCTGCTACTTTCACCCCCATCTCTAGGCCTACCCCTTTGTCCCTCTCCTCCTCCTCCTACTCTTCTTCCTCAACCCTTTGGAGCCTCTCCAATTCCGTGAGCCCCTCTGCTGCTTCTTCTCCGTCTTATGCCAATATTCTTACCAAAAACACTAACCCTACTTCTCTCTGTGCTTCTAGTAGCGAAGTTGGTGACAAATATCAGTTTCAGAGCAATCTTTCTTTTCTCAGTGATCCAAAAACTGATGACTTGTTTTATGGATCTGAAGATTTGAATTCTGGGGGTGGATGGAAACCATGTTTGTATTATTCAAGAGGGTTCTGTAAAAACGGCAGCACCTGCCGTTTTCTCCACGGCGGCAGCTCAGTTAATGTTGTTTCTCCAGGCAATGCCAATGTGATTGAACAGTGCCAGGAGATAATCAGATCCAATGCCGCTGCTCAGCAGCAGAAACTGGCTGCAGTGTCACAGTTCATGGCTGGCCGCGGTGGTGATGCTTCCTCTTTCCCATACAACAAGTGCATGGATTTTCTTACGCAACAACAAAATGACTCTCCAAGGTATATATATATATACTTGTAATATTAACTAAAGTGGTAGTAAAATGTATTTACAGTTTTTGGTTGTTTATCCGGAATCATTTGGGGTATGATGTTCCGATCTACTTTGTGTTTCGCTTCAGTTTTACGAATAAAGCAGATCATCAAGTCATCTTTAACTTTCCATGCTTTCCGCTGCAATTTTTCAGTAAAAAACTGACCACAATCTAATAAAATGTACTTCAAGCTTGGTTCTTACTAAATTTAACTTGTGCATAAAGTTATTGCCTCTAAATGAATTTTGTTTGGATTTTTCATGTGTTTTTTTCAGGTCAGCAGCATCTGCATTGATGATGGCTGATGAAGTTCACAAGTTTGGGAGATACCAACATGATCGAAACGACTTTTCGACTTTAAATTTGGGAGGAAATGCCAATCACAGTTCAAGGCAGATCTACTTGACATTTCCAGCTGATAGTACATTTAGAGAAGAAGATGTCTCTAATTATTTTAGGTAATTAAATGGTTTTTCTTTTTTCCTTCTAGCAACCTGATGAAGTACTTAAAACTGAGAACTTGTGTGGTTTTGTAGCATTTATGGACCAGTGCAAGATGTGAGGATTCCATACCAGCAAAAGAGGATGTTTGGATTTGTTACATTCGTTTACTCCGAGACTGTGAAGATCATTTTGGCGAAAGGGAATCCTCATTTCGTATGCGATTCTCGGGTGCTTGTGAAGCCTTACAAGGAGAAGGGCAAAATCCCAGACAAGTAAGTCGTGCATTTTTGAGTCTTCTGGTTTTGTTTTTGCTTTTACAATTTGTGCCTTCCTCCTTCCACATTGTTAATTTTGCTTTGAATTGACAATTGCAGGAAGCAACAACACCAACAGTTTGAGAGGGAAGACTACCATCTGTGTAGAAGCCTGTCTGCCATCGATTCGAGAGAGCATTATGATCTCAATCCTGGTAAGAAAACATGGTCCTTTGATGGTATACAACAGCTCATGTAAAATGAGGATTCACTATTAATCTTATTTTCTTCGAGGTCTTTGTAGGATCAAGAATGTTTTACAATACACAAGACATGCTTTTGAGAAGGAAATTAGAGGACCAGGCTAAGTTGCAGCAAGCCATTGAAATCCAAGAAAGGAGACTTATGAACCTCCAACTTCTAGGCATCAAACCCAACAATCTTCATCATCAGAATCAGTACTACAACGGTTTATCAGAAGGGTCTCCATTTCCTTCACCCACTTTGTCACATGCATCCAAAAATCAATTCTTCAATTTTTCACCTAGAGGCAATAATGAAGAAGTCCCACAAGGTTTGCTAATCAATGTGTTTCTAGAGTTGTTGATGCAGAAAGATAGTTGCATTACCAAGGGAAGTGATTTGCACACCCTTTTTATCCACATGCACACCCCTGCTTATTTTTTATAATTGTACTGAGTAAATTATAGGAGACTCAATGGTCGGGAGTAAGCTGTGTGCAGAAAGAGAAAAAGGGTGTGTTGAAATCGGTTTCCATTTCCAATTAGTGGTGCTTAATTCATTTATGCCTTGTTCACATTGCATGTTCTTGCAGAATATGATGAAGCTGAAAAACCGCAGCAGGAGATGAATCCAACTTTTAATCATGGAACTGAAGATAACAATGGCGATGATTTTAGCCTGCATGAAAGGTTTTGCTCAGAATAAATTTAACCTTCAAATTAAATTCTGAATAAATATATAATGTTCAAATCAATGCTAATTCATTGTTTTATTTGAAAAGCAGTATGGAGCACATTCTCCCTGATAGCCTATTTGCATCTCCAAAGAAATCAGCTGCTGGAGACCAAATAAATGTCTTCTCAACTACTGCTTCTGCACAAGTCAATACCGAAGGCATCACCAGAACCACCACCATTTCTTCTAACAATATTAATAATAATTTACTGCCCACCACTTCTACACCAAATGCAGATTCCCCAAAATCTGTTCTTTCCAAATGTCCAGGTACTGTCGCTTCTTCTTTCCCCGTATAACAAAATACAAACAAAAACACACACATAGACATATGCTTTGCTTTACTACTACTATGATCCATATAAAGATCAAAAAATAAAAAAATAAACAAATTATTAATTTTAACTTTTTAGGTTTTCTTTTGGAATGTAATTAAGAAAGTTAAGCATGGGCAGCATTGGGGGAGACATGACTTTGCTACTGCTAGGGTAAGCATACATTTCAATCTCTTGCAAGATTCTTATAAGCTTATTATACACAATTCTAGCCAAAGTGATCACTCATGGGAAAATTTTATGGTGCTTCAGAGTATCTATATACTCTAGAACAAGAATCTTGATCAGTACTTAACAGTTTAAAATTCAGAGTAAAGAACACTCCGGAGCACCATAAAAAATCCCTCGTTCTTGGTAGTAATTACATTTTGTATATTTTCTTAATTTGCAGAAACAATTGAGAAGGATTACAAACGGAAGAAAAAGATCATCTAGCTATATAGCCAAAAGCATATACCTATATCAAAGCAAACTTGTAGACAAGATCTCAGCAAGATCACTATTGTCATTAATATATATATATATATATATATGTATGTATGTATGGATCTATACTATTTAGAATAATAATACCTAATTGTATACATAAAAGAACAGATGGACTGATTTATTTGAGTGGGGTCTATTTCAGTACTCTCTGCCCTATCTCCGTAGGTATGTGCTAGCTGGAGCACAGCAAGCAAGCAAGCTGTAACAATGTAACATATCAACTTTCATATGATATTTTAATTTAGGTTACTTATCTTTTTATTTTGAGAACTTTAACGAAAAATATCCGGTACTGTTCACTTTAACGAAAAATCATATTTTTACATTAAAAAGTCAATCCTGGTACTATTCACTTTATCCTTTATTTTGTCCTTATCATTAAAGCTCAAAGTTTTCAAATCCTTTTCATTAGTTTTCTTTTTTATTTTACCACTTCAGACTTATATGTAACCGGTTTATGGCTAAGTAAATAAATATAAAATTATATGTAAGTTTTTTTATTCGGCATGAAGATAAATTATTAAATTAGAATGTCACGAATTACTATGAGACTGTACATGTTCGATTCAAGGGGCTCTCCTTTTTGTGCTAGAGAGATGAAAAGTCTGAATCAGATTGAGAGGTGATTGTTGTAGATGGAGTAGGTTTCTTTCCCCTTTTGTCTTCTCTTCTTTCTTCTCCTTCTTTCACATTTTGTTTTTTGGCTTTGTGTTTTTATTAAAAAAATAATATAAGATGTTAACGTAGTTTGTTTTAACGTAGCCGTTCAAGTAAAAAGAAAATGAAGAACATAGAGATTAGTAGGGAAAAAAATCTTCTTTGTAGAAAGCCAATAAAGTAGTGAGCAAGTGTAGCAGAAGCATAACAATTGTACTGAAATGGAGCCCCCAAAAGTAAAAAGCAGCGGAGGAGATGACTCAGTGGAGGGAGGGTAAAAAGCCGAGTCCCTCTGGCTCCATCTTTAGGCTTAATCTACAATTGCATTATACAGAGAAGAGATCATCTCTGGATCTTTTTCATCAAGATCATCGGATCAAGTGATTCGGGTATTTGAAATTTCATTCAACGGTCTATCTGTTTTAACCCTTTAAAAGTTATAATAATTTTTAATTATTGAATGAAATTTCAAATGTCCAGATCACTTGATCTGGTGATCTTAGTAGAAAAGATTTGGAAATGATCTCTTCTCCATTATATGAGCAGGCTGTTTGAACATAAAAGAAAATAAAACTTTATGCGCATTTGGAAAATTATGACAAAAAGGAGGGGTAAAAATAATAACAAAAGAAGGAAAAGTCGTAGTTGTTTCCATTCATGCGAGTAAAGGGGGTTACTTTTGGAGGGCTCTTTGTCTTATTTTGTAATTTTTGTTTTAAACAAGGGTTAATATATAAAGGAAGGGCCACAGAGTCAGTCCCTCACATGGCTTCTGAAATCCATTTGAATGGTATCCATCTGCCGATCTGGGCACCACGCACTCCTTTCCCTTTCAGTTTCAGTGCCTTTTTTGGACCTTCCTTCTCTGACCCCTTTCTGATTTTAACATTTGCTTTTAAATTTTTGTTTTTGACTTATAGGGTTTGATGGAGAGAGTAAAATTGAAAGCGTTCACGACTGTGTGGCGTTACGGTTTAATGATACATTGTTATGTGTAAGATTTTCTTCATATAAAAATGTATTTTTAGAGACACTATGATGGTAGTGAACTCGTTAAATGTAAGTTGTTTTCGGTTTAATGTCCTCATGTTTTGGCATGGTTTGATAGAAACTTCCAGTATGTTGTTGTATATCTCATATTTTGGAATTTATTGTCATTTCAATGACCAAGATTTAGCAGTCGAAAATTTAGATTCACAAGATACGTTGAAACATAATACATTTTTTGTGGTTTGATAAATTTCAAATTTTCTTCAAGGGGTAATGTGTCTTCGTTGACATATGTTGAAATCAAATTGGAGGAGCATTCTCTCTCTTCCTATTTCTCTCCCTCCCATCCAGTCTTGTTGTATAACGCATGTGAGGGTTGTTGAACAAATCAATGAGAACGACAATCTAATTCAAGATTTCCCTCCGACATCCCCAATATCTTTGAGACCTTCGAGATAACTGTTAATTTCTGTTACGGCATCAAGATCGACTTGAGGAACCAATCATGACTAGCATGTATAAGAAGGAAAGTAAATGGTGGTGTGAACATGAGTGGAGAAGAGGAAGAATTGTTGAAAAAAAGCAATAAAAAATAAAATTAAGCTCATTAAATATGTGGGACAATTTCAAGCCATCAGATTTCTTTTGAGCGGTCTAGATTGAAAAGGAGGGGATGCGAGGGGAGATAATCCAAGTTCAACAAAATTTGTGCACGTCAAGCAATTGACATGATTACACATAGAGGGCATTTAGGTCATTTTGGACATCCTGGTGCCATGGTCCAACGCTCTTTTTGAATACACAAAATGTTACTTAATTCAATTCTAACGGTGAAAATATTTTGTGAGTTCAAAATTATCCCTGAAATTGTGGATTTGATTTGAGCTCTTGCTTAAATTTTTGTTTGTGAGTGTTGTATGTCTTGCATTTGTGTCCAACTCTTGGGGACTGCCTCCCTATAAACGACAGTGCGATAGTGCTTCAAACACAGTCAATATGGATGTTGATAGGGTTTCACAACAAAATTATAACAAATAAGAAAAAAAAAATGCGGTCTAAAAATTTTCTCTAGGTACGGATCAGTGTTTTATTTATACAAACGATATTAGAGAATGAGATAATCGAACGTTAAGGATCTTGAGTGCAAGAACTGTGGTACCATGCGTGGACATATTTAGCATAAGGGGATTAGTGACCAATTTGTACGAGTAAGTTCATACTTGTAAAATGGAATTGTTGCCGATGTTTTGGCCAACATGTGGAGATATCATACAGCACAGCAAGTCCACCAAAAAGATATTCATGTTGGATAACTGCATTAATGTAATTCTAAATCTAATGTGGTTAAGATGTCTCCATCATTTGCCCCTCACATTATGTAGTGTATGTTGAATTTCTCGATGAACTACGATTAGCTTGATCTATTCTTAGAGTATGTAAGGAGATTAACTCGAAAGATGTAACCATTATATTAAATAAAAATTAATTGATACCACATCTTGGAGTTCGAGACGTTACATTTTTGTGATTGGGCTGGGTACAGACTTTACCAACTGGCAAAGACAAGGCTCCTCCGAAGAGAGCTAGTCGAAGGTGTGAGTAGACTTTTACTTTAAAAAATGTTTCTCTATTAAATTTTAAGCGTGCCTAGACAAATATAAATATTGATTTCTCTATTATTACTTATCTTGTGGTAAACATACCCTGCACAGGTTTAGAGTATTGTACCAGCTTACAATTGTCATATTCAGCTTACAATTGTCATATTCAGCTTACACGCGTACAATATATATACTTAGCTTGTCTACTGACATAACATCCACCTTGCCCGTGTATGATATATACTTAGCTTGTTTACGACATGAGATTCACTTACACGTGTATGTTATATACTCAACTTATCACGTCAAGATTACTCTGTAATGGTATGATTATATAGTTATACTCAACTTGTCAGTACGTCGAGATTACTTTGTAATGACATGATTATACAGATATACTCTCAGCTTGTCAATATGGCAAGATTACTTCGTAATAACATGATTATACTATTATACTTAGCTTGTCATTACTTCGAGACTACTCAGTGATGACATAATAATATTATCCAGCTTACTCTAGTAACAGTTAGTGTAGGATATCGTATAATATGTCTGTGGAGCAAAAAAATAATCAAGAAAATTATGGAGGCGACACATGTACTTTTGTGTTAAAAGGATAAAATTACCCTCGAGACACACCGGTATTCACACGCACATGCAACAAACAATAACAGCTCAATCAAGGAAAAGTCAAAGGTGATCAAAATGATATTTTATTCAAAACCCTCTCATCACTCCTCATCAAATCCTCACTCAAAAGGTAACTCCCAATTTTCCTATTCAATTTGCGATTAATAGCCAAGTTAATTGCAAGATATTATTTCACTTAGTATCTTGCAATTACACTCACAACTTGACCATATGTGGCCAGCCCCTATTCTCTAAATAGGGCCGGTCACTCCCCTATAAATAGTCATGCTTTCCCACTAAAATGCTAGTTCATTCTCTTCCAAAAAATTTCTAAACACTTTCTCTAATTCTAACTTTGGCATCGGAGATTCTTCAGCCAAAGCCCCCCATTCATCGTGGGCCCGTGAGGCTTTTGGCCTTAATCTTAGGTGTTATTATTTTGCAATTGCATTTTCATCAACAGAGAAGACGTCGAAAATTTGCATCCACAAATTGGTGCTTTCATTGAGAGTTTGATTCACATTCTCGAAGAAGACTCTCGCATTCAAAGTTTCTCATTTCTCGTTCGTTCGTAAATTTTTTCATACTTTCTTATTCCTAAATTTTTTTAATTCTTTGAATAGAGGTAAGGGAAAAATACAATGACCGGAAATTCAAAAACACGACGAACGGAACTTCCTAGGTTCAAAGATTCGGATCAAATGATGGAGGACGAGACGTAACCCAACCACGACGATCCACGAGGCTCAATGCGGTGGCAAAATGACCAACTTTGCCACCACGGAGCACCACCATCATGGCAACCACGAGGACCACTATGGCAGTGATGAGTGGGCCAGCTTCATGGCAGTGAGACCATCAGGCCACGACTTAAGATGCGCAATCCTCGGAGTTAGGCCAGCTTGCTGCCATTTCAATAGCCCAGGCCCCGGAGCATGCCTAAGCCCAGTCTCCAACAGCAGCAGCTTGGCACACCCAGGCTTACGCCACAAAGCAACACCAAGCCCAGGCTAGTGCCGAACAGCAACCGTCCCAAGTTACGTCGATGAGAGAGGAGACCCAGTGCACCCGTGCTTTTATGGCCCAGCCCACACCAGAGGTTCAGCCCGCTCCCATGACTCGACCCATTTCGGTGGCCCAACTTACTACCGTGGCCCACTAAGCAATCAACCAGTGGTCGGTTTAACCATCCCGACTTTAGATTTTTAGACCAACGATTGAACCAGGGGTATTTTCACCCCATTTATCCACATATTTGACATATCCTAACTCAAATCTCATGTCCGGAGTCTATTACACTTCCACTACTCAAGGAAACGTATACCGTCCAAGCTCTTCCACCCTAAAAGGCAACAACACTTGTCTCGACAAGTCATAGAGTTG